CCACTCACCTCAGCCTCCCAAAGGCGCGGGATTACAGGCTGAGCCACCGAGCCCGGCATGAAGTGCTTTCTAAGTGCCAATAACCATCCTTAGTGTTTACAGAGAGCATCTCATTTAATCCACACCAACTCTCTGAGGTACAATTGTTATTCCTGCTGTACAGCATAGGATAAGAAGGCACAGAGAGGTTAAGTAATTTGCCCAAGGTTCACATTGTATTGTGGTTCAGTTTAGTCTTTTCCATGATTTGTTGTGTAAGCCAATAAAACCCCCTTTTATCCAAACTGTCACTTCATTCTGTCTCTTGTAACAAAGCATTCTAACTAGATTTTTGTCTCATCTAGTTTGCATATTCCTCTACAGCAGCTCATCCATATGGTTAAAATGTTAAGACATCATTTAATGACTTCAAGAAGAATTCTTCCAGGAAACTTGCTTCCATTTAACTAATCAGACCACAACTGCAACTACAAAACAATGGAGTACATTGTGAGGAGATATCTCGGAGGGGACACTAGGCTTCCTGCCTACGGCAGACACTGTTGGAGGGTTCACCCAACACCTACTCTCAACCTCCTTTCTCCCTGTCTGGCTGACAAAGCAAAATACATACTTTCTTGGTTTCCAGCAAGGGCTAGTCAGATGACACAATTCTGGACAATAAAAAGTATTATAACATGGAAGGATTCTAGCATAGTGTTTAAATGCAAGGGCTCCAGAGCCAGAGAGCCTAAATGTACTGCCACTTTAGCTGTATAGATTTGGCAATTTTTTCAACCTCTGGCTATTGGAGATAATAACTTTATCTACCTCATGATTAATTGTGAAGGTTAAACAAATTAATAAATGTAAAAAAATTCAGATGAGTACCTGGTACATAATAAAATGTTAATAAAATAATAATAAGCCGGGCTCGGTGGCTCAGCCTGTAATCCTGCGCCTTTGGGAGGCTGAGGTGAGTGGGATTGCCTGAGCCCGCAGGTTCAAGACCCGCCTGGGCAGCGAGACCTCATCTCTACAATAAATAAAAAATCAGCCGGGCGTGGTAGCGCGCGCCTGTAATTCTGGCTACTTGGAAGGCTGAGGCGGAAGGATCACCAGAGCCCAGCAGGTCGAGGCTGTGGTGGCCGGGAGCGGCCACTGCACTCCAGTCTGGGTGACAGAGTGAGACTCCAACTCAAAAAATAAAAAATAAAATAATAATAATAATAATAATAAATGTTAATAAAAATAAATGCATAAAATAAATGTTAGCAGTTGCTATTTTTTTTTTTTGAGTCAGAGTCTCACTCTGTCACCCAGCCTGGAGTGTAGTGGCACAATCACATCAGCCTTGACCTCCTGGGTTCAGGTGAGCCCTCTGCCTCAGCCTCCCAAGTAGCTGAGACTACAGGCCCACAACACCATGCCTGATTAATTTTTCTGTATTTGTAGAGACGATGTCTTGCTATGTTGCCCAAGCTGGTCTCAAACTCCTGGCTTCAAGCAATCCTCCCACCTTGGCCTCCTAAAGTACTAGGATTACAAGTATGAGCTACCGCATCCGGTCTGCTAATTTTTTTTTTTATCACCCATAAGTGCCAATATGGAATGAACTTTAAGATATATTAAGCAAAAGAAACAAGATGTAGAAGATACAGTGTGGGCTGGGCTCGGTGAAAAAAACAAAAAAACCCAAAAGAATATACAGTGTGCTCCCACTTGTATGAATAAAAAGGCAGGCTTGAGTATATATCAGTATCTGCTTGTGAATGCACAGACTATCTCTTATAGGACAGAAAACAAACTGTACAGAGAGAGTGCCTCTGGGAAGCAGAATGTAGGACAGGGACTGAATTGGGAAGATCTACTTCATTATATCTCCCTTGTTTACTAACTGGATTGGATTTTTGTTTGTTTGTTTGTTTTTTGAGTCGGAGTCTTACTCTGTCACCCAGGCTGGAGTGCAGTGGCATGCACGCTCATGGTCACCCCAGCGTCGACCTTTTGGGCTACAGCCATCCTTCCGCCTCAGCCTTCTGAGTAGCCAGAACTACAGATGTGAGCTACTATGCCCGGCCAATTTTTGATTTATTGTAGAAATGAGGTCTCGCCAAGTTGCCCAGGCTGTTCTCGAACTTGCAGTCTCAGGCAATACATTTGCCTCTGCCTCCCAAAGTACTGGGATTACAGGTTGAGCCACAGAGCCTGGCCTGGATTGGATTTTTGGAATTGCATTTAAATTACTTAAAGATTTTTAAATTATGTTTGTTTTAAAGAACTCAAAAAAATAAACCCACTTTCTCTTAATTTTGGTTATTTATCAACAAAATGGACAGTCACATAAAGTGGCAAGCTTCCTTTGGAGGTATTCAAACACAGGCTGGGTGGTAATCTTCGGGCATGTCCTGGAAGCTTTCTAGGAGGTTAGCCCAGAGAGCATCTAAGCTCTGCCAATTCTAAGATTTACCTTTTTGGTGGCACAAAAGGAGAAAGGACCTAAGGGAGATGCCAGGATATGGTCAGAAAAGATTCCAACAATCACAGACTGCTGGCATCAGACAGAAAGCACAGACGTGCTACAAGGGCAAGCTTGTCTATCTCTGCAGAGCAGAGCTGAAGAGCCACACGGTGGAGCCACTTCTTCACTGTATGAGTTGGACCAAGTTAACAAATGTTTCTGTGTTTCCCTAGTCTATAAAATGGGAATAACATTCACCTTACAGAGTTGGTGTGAGAAATAAACAGCCTAGCGAATACAAAGCCCACAACACTCTACCAGGCATATAACAAGATGCCTGAGGAACAGCGGCAACCATCACTGGAGATGGAGAGAGATCACCTTCAAATGACTTGGTCTATGTGCCAATCTTTTAATGTACAAACATTTAAAAATGACAAACTAGAAAGGAGTTTGAAACTGAACAACTGAAGATGATTATATACAACAGTTTCTACAAACCCAAAACTGGATATTAAGCCAAGATAGCTCCTGCTAGATTCTAACCTTCAAGGCTGAATTGTTCTGCTCTATTCACTTGCAGCAGATCACAGCATGAAGCAAGGTCAACTTTTTCAGCCCATCCTTTCTAAATTTTTCTTCTAAATCAAGAAGTCACAACAGAACCAGGAAGGGTTGAGCTATTAGCCAGAAAGAGATGGTGAGAACTGCTCTAGTAACTTCATTTACTCTTTGGGGCTTCATGCCCACAAGACAATTTTAAGAACCCCTCATGTAAGACTGGGCTCAAAGTTCAGATATTTTGATCTGAACTGTGATGCTTATGGCAAATACAGGATAGATTGAATGGTTCTAGACCAGGGAGAAAGCATTCACAAATGCTGCATCTTCAGTGAAATAAGGCAAATACCTTGAGGCAAGGAGTGACTACGTGACTAATTCATCCATGTGGGAGACTCAAATCTACAACTGTGCAACATAAAACCTGGAGTGCTGAGGTCTTCCTTTTTAGTGAAAGTCAAAGGCCCTAGGACAAAATGCTAGAAAGTCTTTTATTAACCACGCTGGGACAGCTAAAGTCCTTTTGGGAAGAAGAGAAACACTAACCCCTTCCTTTAAGTTTTTTTTTTTTTTGAGTTGGAGTCTCACTCTGTCACCCAGACTGGAGTGCAGCGACACACTCATGGCCACCAGCCTCGACCTGCTGGGCTCTGACGATCCTTCCGCCTCAGCCTTCCAAGTAGCCGGAACCACAGGCATGCGCTACCACGCCCGGCTAACTTTTGATCTATGGTAGAGGCGAGGTCTTGCCAAGTTGCCCTGATGGATCTCGAACCTGCAGGCTCAGGCAATCCACTCGCCTCGGCCTCCCAAAGTGCTGGAATGACAGGCTGAGCCACTGAGCCCGGCCCCTTTAAGTTTTAATAGCCAACCAGAATCTGGGTTCTGAAGAGTTGAAACACTTTTTCCCCAGGATTAGGAGCAATCGCAGCAACTGGCCAAACGTGTTAGCAGCAGGAAAGTTGAGTGTTACCTACATGAATGGTGCTCAGTGTGGGTAGTATGTGGCCATGAGCAGAACACTAGCTTTATAACCTCCATGCTGGGAGGTCCTGCGGCTGCTGCTCTGCAGGTCCATTTCAAGCAGGATCCAGCCATCCACAGAACCAAACAGCTGGAGTGTTGGGAACAGAAGAGTCTGTGTTCCACAGATAATGCATGAAATGACTACTAACAGAGAAGGTATGAGCACAGCATTCGAAGGTAACTCCTCCGGACAGCCTGCTATTAAATTCTTAAGAGCTTCTTAGAGTCTTGATGGATTGAGAAATTCTAAAGATTTTTTTTTAAAGATAGGTGAGAGATGACAAAGACATGAGTTCTTTGTAGATGGTGACAGGCTTACTTTGTCCCCAAGTTCATCTTAGAGCTCAAGCAAATTCAAGACATGAGGCAGAGACACTAGACTTGTGTCAAGGGCAAAAACTTCTGGTAGTAGCTCTTGGTGACGTCAATCATCAGCTCCTGAGTACACTCCGGGAGCTCCCCTGAGAAGAGTCCTGGGGAAAGAAAGACCTGGTTCTAAGGAGCTCGAATAACTTAAAAGAGATTGAGATATTTCTCTGGCAATACTTTTTTCACCTCAGATCAGATGCATGTTTCATAATCACTTAAAACAGTCACTAGAGGCCGGGCTCAGTGGCTCAGCCTGTAATCCCACCACTTTGGGAGGCTGAGGTGAGTGGATTGCCTGAGCCCATGGGTTCAAGACGCACCTGTGCAACTTGGCGAGACCTCATCTCTACAATAAATCAAAAATTAGCTGGGCGTGGTAGCACGCGCCTGCAGTTCCAGCTACTTGGAAGGCTGAGACGGAAGGATCGCCAGAGCCCAGTGGGTCGAGGTTGCAGGGGTCGGGAGCGGCCACTGCACTCCAGTCTGGGGGACAGAGTGAGAATCCAACTCAAAAAAAATAATAATTGCTAGAGATGTTCTGGCCCAGCACTTGCTGAACTTTTTCACATGTGTGGCTCCAATATGGGGAAATTACTAAACAAAAGTCTCTTCTTCCTCCTCTGCAAAAACAGAGATAAGTGGCACAGCCAAATGGCTAACTGCCTCCTCAAAGAATCTGAGTAATGATTTTATACATCTTTGAAACTCAGTGTCACAGACCCAAGTGATCCAATTTTAATTGGAAGAACAAACCACCCAGTGGTAGGTATCATGTACTGTCAAATATCTATTTTCATATCATCTTCCATCTGTGAATTTGTGATGTGCCTCCGTTTACCCTACATGATTTCATCTTTGTAAGTTTTTTTTTTTATTTGTAGAGACAAGGTCTCACTATGTTGCCCAGACTGGTCTCAAACTCCTGGGCTCAAGCAATCTTCCTGCCCTGACCTCCCAAAATGATAGTATTACAGGCATGAGCCACTGTGCCCAGTCACTCATTATATTTTAGATAACATTTCTAGGTCCTTTGTAATGGGTGAATTTTTAAGTTAGTTCTATCAACATATTGTCAGAGATAGAAACTGCATGTATAACTTTTGTGATGGAAAATAAAACTTAGTTTTAAGGAAGCTAAAATAAAAATAACTGACATCCAAGGTTACCTGGGCAGCCTGAGAAGACAGTGAATGGTGGGACCACAGTTTCTGGAGGTAATACTGTGTTGTCAAGAATTTTGCAGCAGTCTTTCAACACACACCGGCGTCCCTGAAATTAAAATCTTGTTAAAAAGAAATAGATCAGGAAAAGGGAGCAAAACTTGTCTAGTTTGCTATGTGGAAGGCTATTTTATATTGGCCCCATTCATGATACTGTATAATAGCCATGGACAGTGAAAAGAGGCTTGGTACCTGATGAGGAGGAAGAGGCAGGGTTGTGAGAGTGTGTGTTTGTATATACTTGGGGCTGAGGGTTGGATGGTAGGAACAGAACAAGTTACCTGTGTCATTATAAATTATGTGAATTTCAGTCTTCCATCAGTTGTTTGATTTTCTCTTTGATTAAGTGGACACCTATTGTTTTGCTTGTCCAGAATCCACTCCCCTTTCTTCTGGTAACAGAACCTAAACATTGCTTGGGAACCACCCCATCCCCATCTCAGTCCATGTGTTTCACCCTTCAGCCCACACACCAAATCCCAAGCCTGGCCACAGCAAATGGAGTAGAGAATCAGTATATGAGTCAAATTAGTCTGATGAACCTCAACCTCAGGGGTTCTGCTAGGACTATTGGGAAAAGAAGCACTTCCCACTGGGGCTCCCAGGGGATAGGACGAAAGCCTGGAATAGTTATCTTATTTTCATGAAGGAAGAACTTGCCTGAGTTAACCTCCCAGAGGAAAGGAACACAGGTTAGTGTATATGTTCTCCCATAGGTGAGTGATAATTATTTAGGTTGTGTCTTATGCTTGACTTTATCCACTTTTTAGTTCTGCCATGACACACAGCATTTAAAGGGTGAGAAAGAAGGTCTGGGAAACTCATGTGTTTCATAGGTTAAGGGGAAAAAAGGGGCTCCTGTGTACAGTTTAAAGTCGTGCCTCAGACTACTTGCTGGGTAAGTGAAAGCTTTGGTCTTTATTGACTGTGTTTACATCACCAGGGCCTATAAGCTCATTTGTGTTCTAGTTAGAAAACCTGATAAAATATACCTGACCAAGAATGTGGAAATCTTAACAAATACCAGGACAATGCTAACTTGTCCAGACCTCAGATTTTATCAAAGAACATAAAAGACATTTTGATTTGATTGTGTTCAAAATTTCCCCCATTATTACTCAAATCATATGTACTTCCAGGAAAAAAGTAGATTGCCAAATGAATTTCTTAAAAAGCTTATGCCTTGGCCGGGCTTGGTGGCTCAGCCTGTAATCCCGCGCCTTTGGGAGGCTGAGGTGAGCAGATTGCCTGAGCCTGCGGGTTCGAGACCCGCCTGGGCAGCAAGACCTCATACCTACAATAAATCAAAAAATCAGCCGGGCGTGGTAGCGCATGCCTGTAATTCCGGCTACTTGGAAGGCTGAGGCGGAAGGATCGCTGGAGCCCAGCAGGTCGAGGTTGCGGTGGCCGGGAGCAGCCACAGCAATCCAGTCTGGGTGACAGAGTGAGACTCCAACTCAAAAAAAAAAAAAAAAAAGCTATGCCTCCATGGTCTGAATTTCTCAAGTAGTTGTCTCAGCTGGGTGGATGACCACATTGACAATATTTGGCAACATCTTTAGCTCATAAGCAAGTTATGACCATAGTTCTTCAATCCTCCTTGAAAAAGCCTATTCCATGAATTGCCTGGTAGTGGCAATTTCAAAATATAACAACTAACTATCTTTCCTGGTGACCCTCAAGTTAATATTAATTCAACATGCCTAAACTCCAAATAACCCAGACTGAGCACAGGGGGCACTGAGTAAAAGGAAATCAGATGCACTGTGGAAGGCATAATACACTACCATGTAGGTATCCACAGACAAAGGGCCCTGAAAAGAACAGTGAAACGAATCTTTTCACTGTGTACCACCAGCCACCACACCTGCTTTGTCCTCTAGTTGGCCACTGTGTCCACTTAGAAAAATGATGCTTAACTGGGTGGGTTTCAGAAGCGATCTGGATAGACTGATCAAATAGCAGTAAAATAAAGCATGAAGGTATTTCCTAGGCATGAATGAATTGATAATAGCTGAGGAAGTAAAAGGCTGAAACCATGTTTTTATTCTTCCCTGGAGAACTTTCCAAGGAGGAGTCAAAACTATAGTCATGGTTGGGTGTGGTGTCTCATTCCTATAATCCCAGCACTTTGGGAGGGTAAGGCAGGAAAGAGTACTGCTTTAGGCCAGGAGTTCTAGACCAGCCTGAGCAACACAGTGACCCTTGTCTCTATAAAGAATAAAACAATTTAGCCAGGCATGACTGTGTGCACCTGTAGTCCTGGCTGCTCAGGCTGAGAAGGAAGGATCACCCGAGCCCAGGAGAAAGAGGCTGCAATGAGCTATGAATTTGCCACTGCACTCCAGCCTGGGCAACAGAATGAGACTCCAACTCAAGATAAAAAAACAAAAAAAAAATTGCAGCCATGTTGCTAGTATTACAGCCACCATCCTTATGCAAGCAAATTAGCATCTTGGAGTCTTGGTTTCCTCATTTATGAAACAGGATGGAAAACCAAATCTGCAGGGAGGTTGTCAAGATTAGAGATAATAAATGTAAAACTCATAGCACAATAGCTAGGCCTATTAATATTAGTTGTTAAACTTTTTGTTCAGGCATTTGGATGATTCTGATTAACATCTACACCTTTACATATTAAAAAAGAAGTTAGGGCTGGGCGTCGTGCAGAGTGTAATCCCTGCACTCTGGGAGGCTGAGGCGAGACGATTACCTGAGCCCAGGGGTTTGAGACCAACCTGGACAACTTGGCGAGACCTCGTCTCTACCATAAATAAGAAATAGCCAGGTGCAGAAGTGCACGCCTGTAGTTCCAACAACTTGGAAGGCTGAGGCAGAAGGATCTCCTGAGCCCAGCAGGTCGGGGTATGGTGGCTGTGAGTATGCCACCACACTCCAGCCTGGGCGAAAGAGTGAAACTCCAACTCAAAAAAAAAAAAAAGAAGTTAGTTTACCACATGGGATGCTACAGGAAGGATCTGTGTGTCACAAGGACAGATGGAATCTAAAAGAGTTACTGTTAGCCCTGAGATTCTAGAATTCTAAAATAATCTTTCTACTAAGATTATTTGAGAATCTGTCAAGGCTCAGCAAGTATCACCAATATTGAGCAATAACTGTCATGAAATGATGTATTAAAAAGTGCCACAAAAAAGCAAAGCACCTGACAACAGGATTAGAATTCCCTAAGCACTGGGAATAGAATATGGATTTTAAGTTTTCAGACATTTTGCTCTGGGGATAATGGACAGAGAGAGTTACAGGACTGGGTTCTAAGGTGACATCTTCACTTTGCCAAGGAAAGTATGAGAAAAACCCAGCAGTGACTTAGAAGGCCAGCTTTTGTCAAATAGGGTGAAGGGAGAGGATGACATTGACTGTCTTCCCCTTTTCCCAAAGACTTTCTGTTCATCCTTGCTGTGCCCTCATGGTTCCTTTGCTGTGCCCCCATGGCTCCTGGAATATGAACTGCATGGTTTCTACAAGTTTTTTGATACTTTAGGGTCTGAGTCTTATCCAGGGAAGAGAGCTGGCTCTGTATTAATGGGAGTATTAAAGAAACATATAAAGAGCCTTGGCTTTTCCTAGAATCTAGTCTGAGGTACAAATGTAAAGTGTAGCAGTTTCCCTAAACAGTAAGGCAGCCAGCTCTGGTCATTAACATTCTCACCCAGGACATTCTCATAAATCCCAACGGAAATCAAGCTTGTCATCTATGACATCACAAGAAATCCAACCTTGTGAAGACTTGGATGGATTAAACAAACTGATGCTTGGTCCCTCAGGGACCAAGATCTTACAGACTCTACTGAGCAAGGGGCCCACCTGCACTCCAAACTACTTGCAGTGCCATGACATCATGCCCTTTGGTGACTTGGATCCTTATACATTCCAATCTCTTTCCAGAAATGACCATCTTCCCCTGTGTACTGGGCCAATTTTGACTTGCCTTCTGATCCTCTTGCCCCATTAGACTGTAAGTTCTGTGATGTAAGGCAACAAATAGGCCATACGGCAGCATAGCTAATCATATTGTCTGGGTTGAAGTCTCAGCTCCACCACTTACTAACCTTGTCAAATCCCTTAATATCTCAATCTTCTCATCTGCAAATAGGAGTAATTACAGTACCTAACACTCTGTGAGGATTAATTGAGTTTAACATCATACGGAAGAGATTCAATAAAGATGAGCCATTATTATGTGAGAAAAAACTCCAAATCTGGCAAGAAAAACTCAACCTCAGGAAGACTGGAAACTACTCTTAATTAGCCTTAGAAGGATGTGGTGGCATATGCCTGTAGTTCCAGCTACTTGGAAGGCTGAAGTAGAAAGATCAACTGAGCCCAGCAGGTCAAGGCTGCGGTGGCCGGGAACGTGCCACTGCCCTCCAGCCTGGGCGACAGAGTGAGACTCCAACTCAAAAAAAAAAAAAAAAAATCCAAAAAACAAAAACTATCCTTGTCCTGCTTGGTCACAAAAGCAGAGTCCCACTGAGGTGAGGGAGGGAGCTAGGGGGGATATGAGGCTGCTTAGTCAGCCAAGTCACCATACTCACAATCACACAGTTCTTGCCAACATGAACGTAGGAACCAATCTGAGCTGCGTTGACCACACAATCTTCCTCAATAAAGACATGGTCCCCGATATGTAAAGGAAAGAATGCAACACTAGAGAAGGAAAAATAAATAAATAAAGGTGATATACTTTGGGTCAAGGTTTATAGAACTACAGATCATAATCTCAACTTCATCATCTTATGTAAATAAGACCATTCCTAACAAGAAAAAACTCTCAGGCTGGAAAAATTCTACAATGTTGAAGAAGTTGTATACAATTACTAATTACTAACTCAAAATAAAAAATATCACACCAATACTCAGTGATCTATCCCAGAAACAAAGAACTGAGTACCACATGTTCTATAATACTATAAGAGAGGGATTGGCAGTAGTGGAACACTGCCAGGAGAGGGAAGGAAGGAACATAACATCAGTAAGGGTACCCAATCTCAAACCAGGGGAAATGGGGACCAAAGGGAGGCCCAAACTTCACCTGTACAATGACCACTTGTATATCTAATCCTGAACTATAACCCACATCTTTAAAATAAAAAAAATGCTATCACATTTTACTTAACTATATAAAGATTATTTTTAAAAAAAGAAAGAGAAATATTAGACCAAAGAGGTGTGCAAGGAAAATGTAAGGCAGAAGGGGCAAGATCATCAAAGTTAAAAGAACAGGCACCAAATAAAAATTAATGAATGGCTGTTCATTCCTGTTTCCTTTGAAAATGCTCACAGATGATATTTTTAGTAACCTGGTCATAATGTTTGAGGGGATTAACATTGGGTTCATGAATTATCACTTCCAGCACTCCACGTTCAGCAAATGTATTCATTTACCAGTTTTACTGTCTAAGATGTGTCAGACTCCATGGTAAGAATTAGGGACACAATGGTAAACAAAAGAGACATAATCCTGTTTGTGAGGAGCTCATAATCACCAGAAAAATTCAGAGTAAATAAATTATGTCATCAGTTACAACTGTGATAAGGGCTACAGAGACACAATATCAAGTTATAAGAGTATATAACAAGGAGACTTTATCTGGCCCAGGGTTTAGGAAAAACTTAATTGACAAAAAGGATGAGTATAAGTTAGCAGGCTTTCACCACACTTCTGACATCATTCCCATCCCAGTCTATAGGATTCCTCAAATGTCACTGACAGTGGTTTTGTGATCACATTTATAAGTAATTTCAGTACCTTGGGATGTAAACTATTTGGACTGGAGCTGTAGAAAGTAGCTAGATGTTCACTAGCTCTTTCTAGTTCTGTTCTATTGTGTTAAGAATATTTTGAGCCAGGCTCGGTGGCTCAGCCTGTAATCCCGTGCTTTGGGAGGCTGAGGTGAGTGAATTGCCTGAGCCTGCGGGTTCGAGACCCGCCTGGGCAACTTGGCAAGACCTCATCTCTACAATAAATCAAAAAATCAACTGGGCGTGGTAGCGCATGCCTCTAATTCCAGCTACTCAGAAGGCTGAGGTGGAAGGATCGCTGGAGCCCAGTGGGTTGAGGCTGCAGTGGCCGGGAGCGGCCACTGCACTCCAGTCTAGGCGACAGAGTGAGACTCCAACTCAAAAAAAAAAAAAGAATATTTTGTCAGAGATGATACCTGTCTTCTGAACCTGTAATTTATTTAAATCTTCCTTCTCATTAGTATTTTGGGTCTGTACCTCTTGCGCAGCAATGCATCCCCTAACCTCATCATAGTCGATAGTATTGACAGTTCTCTTATTTTAAACTAAAAATTCCAAATTGTATGGTATTATCTGGTTCTGGTATAATATCTGGTTCTGGTATGATACGCAGGGGGAAAAAAAATCCACATTCACCTTATATTCATGTTTTGCTATTTAAGCTTTCATATTTCTGTATGTCTCACATAGGCTATTCCTATTTACATATCCCTTCATTCACCAATAAACCCCTTATTCATTCTTGGTGTTTTTCCTGGGCCATAAGCAGCCCAATGCTTTTATCAGAAAGTGGCATCACATCTAGCAGAGTAGCAGTCACTATATGAAACTATAAAAGAGTACCACAAGGTTTTCTGGCTTCCCTCCAATAGCCTTTGGTGTGAATAAGTAAATATTTTATTGTGAATGATTTATGACTCCCTGATCCAACTGTTGTATGTAATGGAATGTCTGGAGCCCAACATCATTATTGGAAGTGTGGGATTATTTCTGCATAATATACTTCTAGGTAGTATGGCTCGTTTGAGCTAGTTGCTCCCTTCGCTTTTCTTCCCTAACCATATTCATACTGTTGTGACAGGGGTATCATACTATGTAGCAGCTATCATATTATACAGTGGCTATCTCTCTTTTTTTTCTGAGTTGGAGTCTCACTCTGTTGCCCAGGTTGGAGTACAGTGGCACACTCAAGGCCACCCCAGCATCAACCCGCTGGGCTCCAGCGATTCTTCCACCTCAGTCTTCCAAGTAGTCAGAACTACAGGCACATGCTACCACTCCTGGCTAATTTTCTAGTTACTGTAGAGATGAGGTCTCGCCAAGTTGCCCGAGTTGGTCTCAAACTCGCGGGCTCAGGCAATCCACTCACCTCTGCCTCCCGAAGTGCTGGGGTTACAGGCTGGGCCACCAAGCCTGGCAGTGACTATCTCTTTATATACTTATTTCTATCTCTAGATTTTGAGAACCCTGAGGCAGGAGCTTATAACCCAGTGGCTGGCATAAGGTAGGTACTCAGTAAATGCTTGTTGACTAATTGGATGAAATGCAGATGGGTGCTATAGGAAGGAATCAGGAGGACAATTAGCCAAGGAAAAGAGGCGAAGAGAATACTGTACCACCACAGTAGGCATGGTAGTCAATTTTCCTGCTCTGTCCATCCTTTCTTGGACAGTCTTTATAAGTCCCATTAAGGGATAAGTGGACCTGACTTGACCCTGCACTCTGGGTCACAGCTGCTTAGACCAAAGGTGGATACTTAATACAAGCTACACCAATCAGATTCTCTCTCCCAAGAATTTAGAAATAAGACATAAGCTCTCTCATTGGTATCTGTTGGAAGCCTAAATAGATAAATGACACAAAGGGCTGAGTCAGCAAAATGGGTTCCATGAGCAAAAGGGGTAGATATAGACAAGCTGAGAGGAAGGAGAGGGAAGCAAAAGTGCAGAGAGAAGAGCAATATAGAAAAAACGGAGCGGGGTAGATAAACAGAATAGTCTTGATTCTGGCTACCTGCCTTTCTAGTCCCTAGAGAGGCTCCTTTTTCTACTCTTAGGTTCCATTGAATATCCCTATGTCTCTTTAATCAGAACTCTCATTGCTTTTGCCAACTTAAATGGATTCTTTTTTTTTTTGAGTCAGAGTCTCTGTCACTCAGGCTGGAGTGCAGTGGCACACTCACAGCTATCACAGCCTTGACCTGCTGGGCTCAGATGATCCTTTCAAGTAGCTGAAACTACAAGAGCACACCACTACACCCAGTTAATTTTTTAATTTATTGTAGAGACGACATCTCACCAAGTTGCCCAGGCTGGTGTTGAACCCCCGGGCTCAGGCAATCCTCTGCCTCTGCCTTCCAAAGTGCTGGGATTATAGGTGTGAGTCACCATAGCTGGCAGCTTAAGTGGATTCTATTTCTGGCAACCAACCATTAACTAGACTAAAACAACTATCACAGAGTTGTGTTCTTTATGGGAAACTCTTACTCAATGCTCCAAACAAGACTTACTCATTATACCACAACTTAATACATGGACCACACCACCAGTAGCAGCTTCTTACCCGAGACTCAAATAATGTGAATTAATTACATACCCTTTGCTGAATTTCTTGAATGGTGGCCTTATAACACTACGACTTTTCACAACACAATGGCGTCCAACTCTTACATTTGCCAGATCCCCTCGGATAATACAATCATTCATCACAATGGTCTAAAAGACAAAGTACATTTTAAAAAATTACCAATATAGCCTAAAACATAATTAAAAGATTAGATAACAAGATAATGACTGACGGTTATGTTATAATCCACTGTATCAAATGTTTAATCAAATGGCATAACTTGTAAGGTAAAAAGAGAATTGTTTTCATGACAGTGACTACAGTTAGAGATTTTTCCAGTACATCACAAGCTTGCCTTTACTACCCCATAAATAGGACTCATTAAATTAAATGACTTTATTTATTTGAGTTGGAGACTCACTCTGTCACCGAAGCTGAAGTGCAGTGGCACTCTCACAGCCACCACAGCCTCGACCTGCTGGGCTCAGGTAGTCCTTGTGCCTCAGTCTTCCAAGTAGCAGGAACTTCAGGCACATACCACCAAGCCTGGGTAATTTTTTGATTTATTGTAGAGATGAAGTCTCACCAAGTTGCCCAGGCTGGTCTCAAACCCGTGGAATCAGGAAATCTCCTCACCTCAGCCTCCCAAAGTGCTGGGACTATAGGCTTGAGCCACAACATCTGGCCTAAATTACCATTTATTGAAAACACCTATAGCAGACCTAATTTATGTGTCTTTTTAGATTCACTCAGGTCCTCCTGCTGCTCAAGCCTTGGTTGCCTACTCACTGAAAGTCCTTGCTGCCCTCACCTTTGACTTTTCTCTTAATACTACTGACCACCTCTAATTCCATGCTCCCATGGACCCACTGAAATTCTGGTTTCTAGCCCAACCTCTGGACTCATTAACTGCTACACTGCAGGGTGTAAGATCTGGTTTTTCCAGAGAATTTCTGGAGAGGATGAGTTATATAATCCAGATATCTAGGGATATTAATACCCCATACTTGGTAAAGAGTTGGCATCCTTGAAATGTCTTCTGAATGGGGTAAAAAAAGTACATGTAGCTGGAGTTGCAGCTGAAAAAGTAAGCAGGGGACATGTAAACAGAGCATGAAAAAATTATGTATGCTAAGCCTAAAAGCTTAGTCATTTTTTCCTAGGGGATATAAAGAATCAATAAAATATTTTAAAACAGAGGATTAACACAAACAAATTTTCACTTTAGAAAGACCACTCTGGAAGCAACCTGGAATTTAAATGGAGGATATAGGTGAACCTGGAGGAAAAGGGACCCTTTAGATGACTACAGTGGATCAAGGTAAAAATAAATAATGGGCCTTATCTAAGGCAACAGCAGTACATATAAAAAGAAAAAATAAATACAAAGTAAATGAATCTGATCAAGCCTCTAGAAGTAACTACCAATTTAGAGGGAGGAGTGGGGGATAAAGACTACATTAAACAACTCCATGTAATATGCCAAATACAGAAGTTTGAGAATTCAACTAGTGATCCAGTTTTTACAATATGCAAATGATGGGGGGGTGGAGAAAATAACTGTTCCAGGTGAAATATGACCAAATACAATGTATGCAGGACCTTGTTTGCATTCTGATTTGAACAAACCAACTGTAAAAAGATATCTTGAGATACAGGAAAGGCTGAATATTAAGGAAATACTTAGTTCTTAAAATATATTATAATAATGGTCATCCACTCACTTTTAAAGTCTTTAAATATTAGTGAGACACACTGAAGTATTCATGGATGAAAAAGAGATTTGCAATCTGCTTTAAAATACTCCAGCTTCCATTTAGTGCTAAGGGACGAAAAAAGATACTCCAGCTTCCCCTACTCCATCCTAGTCAAACCAGGTCTGGGTTGAGGGCTAAGTTTAGAGATGATACAAGAATGTCAAAATAGGCCAGGCACAGTGGCTCACACCTGTAATTCTAGCACTTTGAGAGGTCAAGGTGGGAGGACTGCTTGAAGCAAGGAGTTTGAGACCTATCTCTATAAAAATGTAAAAAAAATAAAAATTTTAAAAAGCCAGGTGTAGTGTTGCATGCCTTTAGTCCTAGTTACTCAAGAGGCTGAGACAGAAGATTGCAAGAGTCCAGGAGTTCAAGCCTGCAGTGAGCTATGATTGCACCACTGTACTCTATCCTAGGTGACAGAGCAAAACCCTATCTCTAAATAAATAGCTGTAAGAATGTGCTAATTGTAGAGAAGCTGGTGAATGAATTTACAGGGATTCATTATATATTATCTCTATTTTTTTTTTGAGTCAGTCTCACTCTGTCGCCCAGGCTAGAGTGCAGTAGCAAGCTCGCGGTCACCACAGCCTTGACCTACTGGGACCAGGCAATCCTTCTGCCTCAGTCTTCCAAGTAGCTGGAACTACAGGTGTGTACCAACACGATCGGCTAATTTTGCTGATTTATTGTAGAGACAAGGTCTCACCAAGTTCCCCAGGCTGGTCTCAAACTCCTAGGCTCAGACAATCCTCTTGCCTCCACCTCTCAAAGTGCTGGAATTATAGGTGTGAGTCACTGCACCAGACTATTATCTCTACTTCTGTACATGTCTTAAAGTTTCATAATAAAAGTATTCAGTCATAAGAAAGAATAAGCTGGCCAGGCATGGTGGCTTAGCCTGTAATCCCAACACTGTGGGAGACCGGAGTGAGAGGACTGTCTGAGCCCAGAGCTTCAAGACTAGCCTGGGCAACTTGGTGAGGTTTCTACAATAAATTACAAAACAAAAATTAGCTGGGCGTGGTGGTGTGTGCCTGTAGTTCCAGCTACTTGAAAGGCTGAGGCAGAAGGATAGCCTAAACCCAGCAGGTCAAGGCTGCGGTAGTTGTGAGCATGCCACTGCACTCCAACCTGAGTGAGAGTGAGACTCCAACTCATAAAAAGCTAATAGCCGGGCTTGGTGGCTCAGCTTGTAATCCCGTGCCTTGGGAGGCTGAGGTGAGTGGATTGCCAGAGCCCACGGGTTTGAGACCGGCTTGGGCAACTTAGTGAGACCTCATCTCTACAATAAATCAAAAACTTAGCCAGGTATGGTAGCGCGCGCCTATAGTTCCAGCTACTTGGAAGGCTGAGGCGGAAACATCGCCGGAGCCCAGCAGGTCGAGGCTGCGGTGACCGGGAGCGGCCACTGCACTCCAGTCTGGGCGATGAAGTGAGACTCCAACTCAAAAATAACAAAACAAAAACAGCTAATAACTACTAACACATGCAATGAGATGGATAAATCTCAAAGACTTGCCTAATGAAAGTAGCCTGACATAAAAGAGTACATGATTCTAGCCTAAGTGCCCATCAATGGATGAATGCTTTTAAAAAATACATGACATGCCGGGCTCGGTGGCTCAGCCTGTAATCCCATGCTTTGGGAGGCTGAGGTGAGTGGATTGCCTGAGCCCGCGGGTTTGAGACCCGCCTGGGAAACTTCATGAGACCTCATCTCTATAATAAAACAAAAACTAGCCGGGTGTGGTAGTGCGCACCTGTAGTTCCGGCTACTTGGAAGGCTGAGGCGGAAGGATCGCTGGAGCCCAGCAGGTCGAGGCTGCGGTGGCCGGGAGCAGCCACTGCACTCCAGTCTGGGCGACAGAGTGAGACTCCAACTCAAAAATAAAATAAAATAAAATAAAATAAAAAATACATAACATATATATATATGTGGAATATTATTCAGCCTTAAAAAAGAATGAAATATTGTCATTTGCAGCAACATGGATGGAACTGGAGGTCATTATGTTAAGGTAAATAAGCTAAGCACAGAAAGACAAAATATTCCATGTTCTCACTCAGATATGGGAGTTAAAAAAGTAGATCTCATGAAGACAGAGAGTAGACTGGTGGTTATCAGAGGTCAGAAATGGTAGAAAGGGGAGATGAAGAAAGGTTGATTAATGTGTACAAATATATAATCTGATAGGAGAAATAAGACCTAGTATCTGATAGATCAGTAGGATGACTATAGTTTACAATAATCTATTGTATATTTCAAAATAAGTATAAAAGAATAATTTAAATGTTTCCAGCAGAAAAAAAAGACAAAATATTTATGGAGATAGGTATTCCAATTACACTGATTTGACCTGATATGATATATTAAATTATCACATGGACCCCCCCAAATATGTACATCTATCGTGTGTCTATTCAAAAATAAGGAAGCCGGGCTCGGTGGTTCAGCCTGTAATCCCACACCTTTGGGAGGCTGAGGTGAGTGGATTGTCTGAGCCCGTGGGTTCAAGACCCGCCTGGCGGCGAGACCGCATCTCTACAATAAATCAAAAAAAAAAATCAGCCGGGCATGGTAGCACATGCCTGTAATTCCGGCTACTTGGAAGGCTGAGGCGGAAGGATCGCCGGAGCCCAGCAGGTCGAGGCTGCGGTGGCCGGGAGTGGCCACTGCACTCCAGCCTAGGTGACAGAGTGAGACTCCAACTCAAAAAAAAAAATTAGTGAATAAAATTATTTTTTTAAAAGAATATGTGATTCAAATTATATAAAACTCTAGAAAACGCAGAACTAATCTATATTAGTTTAACATTGGTGGTTGTCTGGGGCAAGGGTAGGAGGATTGACTACAAAGGGGAACAAGGGCACTAGGGTAATGGAAATATTTTATATCTTGATTGTGGTGGTGGTTGCACAGATGTGCACATCAGTTAAAACTTGTCCAACTGCACACTTAAAAAAATTAATTTTGAGCCGGGCTCGGTGGCTCAGCCTGTAATCCCGTGCCTTTGGGAGGCTGAGGTGAATGGATTGCCTGAGCCCACGGGTTCGAGACCTGCCTGGGCAGCGAGACCTCATCTCTACAATAAATAAAAAAGTCAGCCAGGCGTGGTAGCACATGCCTGTAATTCCGGCTACTTGGAAGGTGGAGGCGGAAGGATCGCCGGAGCCCAGCAAGTTGAGGCTGCGGTGGCTGGAAGTGGCCACTGCACTCCAGTCTGGGCAACAGAGTGAGACTCCAACTCCAAAAAAACAAAAAAAACAAACAAAAAAAAAATAAATTTTTATGCCAGGTGTAGTGGCTCAACCTGTAATCCCAGCACTTTGGGAAGCAGAGGCAAGAAGAATGCTTGAGCTCAGAGGTTCGAGACCAGCCTGAGAGACCT